CTCTCTCAGATACTGATTCTTGTTCTATCAATGGCTTACGGTGGCCCGTCGATGAATCCACCGGCTATGATTGGAACCGTTCCTGGTGTCTCTAGCAATCTGAAGCAGGTGAAGCTGGATAGAGAAAGCGAGCTAAGGATCGAAGTCTCTGACGAGCCTCTCAGACTCCGTGTCGTTAACGGTACGGCTGAGATTTTCGGCTCTGAGCTCCCTCCTGAGATCTGGCGCACCTTCCCTCCTCGCCTCAAATTCGCCGTATGTGTTTTATTTCTAATCCTTTGTAATAATATGACGAAAAGACTTAAGCTTTAGGTAGTAATAATGGTTAAATCTAATCTCCAAGTAGTGTTCATGGGTTGGGTAAAGTTGAAGACTTTATAGTCTTTGTGTTGTGTTTGTGATGAAAGACTTAAGCTTTAGGTAGTATAATGGTTATCTAATTTCCAAGTAGTGTTCATGGGATGGGAAAAGTTGAAGACTTTATGGTCTTTGTGTTGTGTTTGTGATGAAAGACTTAAGCTTTAGGTAGTAATAATGGTTATCTAATCTCCAAGTAGTGTTCATGGGTTGGGAAAAGTTGAAGACTTTATGGTTTTTGGATGAAAGACTTAAGCGTTAGGTAGTAGTAACATAGATGAATCAGTTAAGAACCGTTAAGTTAGTTCCTATAGAGATTTATGAGGAGATGAGTGGTTCTACTGAGTTCCTCTCTTGTGTCTTTCTACTTCCGTTAACTGTTTCTGTATAAGTTGAAGATCATTACTTTGAACCCTGTGTTTGTCTTTTGAATCTTGTTAGGTTTTTACTTGGTATGGAGCGACGATTGAGATGGATGGTGTCACTGAAACTGACTATACAGCTGATGAGGTAAGCTTCTTTGTTTCATCTTCCAGAGCAAAAGATTAAATTACTAATATGCTCTCGGCTTTTTTTCTTTGTGTAGACACCAATGGTCAGCTACGTTAATGTGCATGCTATACTCGATGCAAGGAGACGTTTTGCCAAAGCTTCCACATCTACTGACTCTGAATCTCCTCAGGTACGGTACTCCTTCCTCTCTTTGTTGATCTTGTTTTCTTGTATATTCATTTGATTCTTATGGAATCAGCTTTGTGCAGGGACCTAGGGTTATTGTAGTAGGGCCAACGGATTCAGGAAAGAGCACGTTGACTAAGATGCTTATTAGTTGGGCAGCTAAACAGGGATGGAAGCCTACTTTTGTAGACCTTGATGTTGGCCAAGGCTCAATTACAATACCTGGTTCTATTGCTGCTACACCTATAGAGATGCCATTGGATACAGTTGAAGGGTTTCCTTTAGATATGGCTCTCGTCTACTACTACGGTCACACTACACCAGCGTAAGTGAATTTTACAAATGTCTCTTCTCCATGATAATACTATTGTTTTTTCTTCTCAACGAGTATCGTTATTCTCTCAGTAACAACGTTGAACTGTACAAAACTATGGTGAAGGAGCTTGCACAAGTGCTGGAGAGACAGTTTCTTGGAAACCCTGAGTCTCGAGCTGCTGGAATGGTGATCAACACAATGGGATGGATCGATGGTATAGGTTATGAGGTAAAAACCTAGCTCCTTTCTTTAGCATGTTCTCTTCTGAAAAGCTTTTTGTTTAAAGGACTGTCTCTGTGTGTTGTTTTCTAGCTGCTTCTCCACGCAATAGAAACATTCAACGCCTCTGTTGTACTTGTCTTGGGTCAAGAAAAGCTCTTCAGCATGCTTAAAGATGTGCTGAAAAGCAAGAGTAACGTGGACGTTGTGAAGCTTCACAAATCAGGTGGAGTTGTGGCTAGGAACCGTGACTACCGTAAAACAGCAAGGAACTCTAGGATTCAGGAGTATTTCTACGGTCTATCGAAAGAACTCTCTCCTTATGCCAACACATCTAGCTTCAGTGATGTGCAAGTGTTCCGCATTGGTGGTGGACCACAAGCTCCGAGATCAGCTCTTCCAATAGGGTCTGACCCTGTTTCTAACCCGTTGAGGGTAACGCCTGTAAATATTGAAGAGAGGGATCTGCTGCATTCTATTCTGGCTGTCTCATATGCAGAAGAACCAGACCAGATCGTCTCAAGGTAATCTCAAAATGTTCAAAAGCTTCCACTGTTTTTGTTTGGTCCTTGCATTGTTTGATGTTTGTTTCTCTCTCTCTCTGGTGCTTTGTGTGCAGCAATGTTTCAGGGTTTGTGTATGTGACGGAGGTTGATGTGCTGAGGAAGAAGATAACGTATTTAGCACCATCGCCAGGGGCATTGCCTAGCAAGATCTTGGTCGCTGGATCTTTGACATGGCTTGAGAGTCACTAGAAGCAGATTAGATTAGAGAAGAGATAGCCATCTTGTCTGGTAAGAGTGATGCAGCAGCTAAAGTTCTCTATGTAACTTTAATTACAGATAGTCTTTTTCTATATAAAACTGCTCAAGTTCTCAAATCTCAGTGTTCCAAGTTTGAAAAATTTGTTGTTGTGGATTAGATGGAGGTTTATTTTTTGTAGTTTGATTGATATAAAAGTGGTGAACTTTCTGTGATGAAATGTTATTTGATTCATTCATACCTTGGATGATTTTTAAAAATAATGAAATTTCTAAACTTATTTGTTTTTTCTTTGTTAATTAAGTTAAATAACTATCACATTAACTAAATCACTCTCAAGTCTCAACTGAACTAATGGAATCTCTATAATATTATTTGAGAAGTCACTTTCTTATTTGTCGCGCTCACGTTAACTTTCACGATGGTTGATTACTATGATACCCCTAATAAATTAAAATACATTTAATATTATTATTTCTTTTTCAAAATTTTCCATATAACAATATAAAATAAAAAGAAAACATTTATAAAGTTTACAAAACTATAAAAAACGAAAATATGAGTATATAGAAATATGGTTTCATAAAAAATGAAAGTTCATAAAATAGTAATATTTAATTTAAATATATTTTAAATAACATAAAATATACTTTTGAAGTAATAAAATACTTCATCTCTATATCTTCTTAGATGTATATAATCACACAACTAATCTTGATATTAGAAAAAGAAATATTTTTCTTTAAAAAAAAATAATTTTAAACAATAATATATATATCTATATATTCAAAGTAATTATTTTTGTATATATCTATCTATTTTATTAGATGATAACATACAAAAATTAAGTAACATAAATTGATATATGTTTAACTGAATTTTTTTTTATAATTTGTATTCTTGAAATATATATATATATATATATTTAGTATATTTATTTGACTATAATATCTCACAATACAACAAAACATATAAATTCTATTTTACTTATATAATATAATTTCTCAAAAACAATAAATTTTTTTACTGCATATTTTAACAGATATTAAAAAAAACGAAAAATAAATTTTAATAATAAACATTTTCTGATTAAATAACTACAATTATTTTAAAATATCATAACACTATATAATTTAACAAAGTAGATATAATATATTTTAATTGTTAAAATTATATGTATTCTTAATAACTCTTTTGATTTTTAATTTCTGTTTTTATGTTTGTGGAACTTAATATAACCATAATCAAAATGCTTAAGCAAATCAGAATTCTTATTTTTAAAAAGTTAAAATAAATTTCAGTTTTTCATCCAATCAATCTAAATATTGTAAATATTGATATCTGTTCATAAGCTTCCAAAAATATATTAGTTAGTTATGCATATAATTTAGAATCAGAAAGTTTAGTTTTTATTTTTTTCTTTCTAAGCACAAAAATCTTAAGTTATACATAATTTTACTAGATATATTTATATTTCTAAGATAACAACCGGCATAAATGCAAATAAGACAATTAATCAAAAAATTAATATATTTAGGATAAAAAAGATTATAGTTGAATTCAAAAAAATAGATAGAATCTAATATGTCCAAATGATAACTAAATCAACCGTATAAATAATAAAATTGACAAAATATAACATATCTAAAATTATACATATAATTAAATTAATATAATATTATTAATATATATTATACCTACAAATTCTAAATTAATTTAAAATTTAAAGTAAATATCAATAAATTATTATAATATATTTATTTTATAAATATTTATATTTGTGCATGAACACGGGAAAATCACCTATTAAGTTTAATGTAAGAATCAGATCCAAAGAATATTAGGAAGGTCTGTCTACCAATCTTTTCTATTATTTGTTCCTTTTCCATAAAGAGATGGAATATTAACCTGTTTTGTGATAATCCTAGGAACACGACTTTAAAGAAAGGAACCAATGGGGCTTCTTTTAATCTTCAACACTGGGATTTTGTTAGATATGAAATGATAACTGCAAATTACAACAAGAAAGAGAAGGCAAATTTTAAAACATAAAACCAATGAAGCTTTGTAATGGGTTTAGTATGTTAAGTATTTGACAATAAGTATTTAACTTACTAATGTTAATAGGAGTCTTGATAACAAATAATTAGTTATAAATGTACTTAAACCATGTAGTCTAATGATTTTATAGTAGTTTGTATTTGACTAGAATCATCATCAGATTGTAAAAGCAGGTGTGAAATGAGATCTATTCTATTTTCTCTCTTTCCTCTAGCTTTTTATTTTTAAATGTTTACCGTTTGATGTTTGGAATATAATTAGAGTAATATTTTTATATTACAATTTGTAAGAAAATTTAGTAGGTAAGAAGTAGGTCCACTAGTAGGACCCACCTCGAAAATCTCGAACAGAGGACTCTGTTTTTTTTCTCTTCTCTCCTCTGAGACTGCGACGACCACGTCTCTGCTCTATGTCTTTACTTTAGTACTGTGTAATTATAATATTATTTGTCTTCTACAACTTTAGCTTTTGTTTTGTTTTGGATAAACGAAGAAGATTAGTAACTTTATTTGCATTATAAAAATCTGTAATGGTTGTGGTGGTGGTGGGGGAATTTTTAGTAAAAAGCAAGTCCAACTCTTCCCCACCCACAAAGCAAAAGTCATAACCTTTGACACTCTTCTCAACACCTCTCTCTCTCTCTCTCTTACAAACAAACAAACAAACAAGTAGGAACAATCTCTCTCTTTTATTTTATCCTAATCTCTCCAGGGTGACTTCTTCTTGCTCTGGGTGACCAAAAGGATCTCATTTTCCCTTTAGCTCTCAAATTTCATGTAGCTTTTGTTTTGGTTTCCTTGTTATGAGCTAACTTTATCTTTCTTGGTATAGACAAAAGATCTCATCTTTTGTACTCTTTGAATTGAGAGAGATTCTATATTTACTCAGCTTTTCTCCTGTGAAGTGATTTGGAAAGGTTCTTTTGAGTTAGGAACTTAAGGTGTTTGGTTTTATCATTGGGTGTATAGATGTCTTGGATTTGATCTAATTATTCATGTCTTATCGGTTTAGATTCACTAGGACTTGAATTTAGATCTTTTTTTTATATGATTTATCTTGGCTCTCTAGTTAGATTTTGGTGTTAGTTTAGTTTGTTCTATCATCTTAAGCTTGTGTGGAAAAGACAAAAAAAATGGAGGAAGTTGAAGTTGCTAGCAAATTAGCTGTAGAGAGCTGTCATGGAGTTTTAAGTCTCTTGTCACAAAAACAAAGTAGTTGTGATTCGGATGCCCTCTTCGTTAAAACAAGTGAAGCAGTTTCCAAGTTCAAGAGAGTATCCTCTCTTTTAACCAGAGGACCAGGTCATGCAAAGTTTAGAAGAGTCAACAACAAGTTCAGGCCATCTTTTCCTCAACATATCTTCTTGGAGAGCCCTATCTCCTGTGGTAATGATGTCACTAGTGATTACACTCAAGTTCTTGCACCAGAGCCTCTTCAGATGGTTCCAGCTCCTGTTGCTTATGATGAGATTGACGCAAGACACCAATGGGGTCATCCTTTATTGACGCTTAGCAACAAAATGTGTGTTGAGAAGTCGTTCCTGGAGTTAAAGCAGCCACCGCCTTTTCGAGCTCCTTATCAGTTAATCCACAACCACCAGCAAATAGCTTACTCCAGGAGCAATAGTGGTGTAAACCTGAAGTTTGATGGAGGTGGTAGTAGTAGTTGCTATACACCGAGTGTATCTAACGGATCAAGATCGTTTGTTTCATCTCTTAGTATGGATACTAGTGTGGTGGATTACGATAGGAACTCGTTCCAGTTAAGTGGATTATCACGTGGGTCTGACCAGATATCCAAGAAGATGTGCTCTGGTAGTTTGAAATGTGGAAGTAGAAGCAAATGTCATTGTTCCAAGAAAAGGTTTGTCAATTTTCTTTGAGGCAATGTGATATGTTGAATGCTTTGTAATGGTGTGCGTTTATGTACAGGAAACTTAGGGTGAAACGATCAATCAAGGTGCCTGCAATAAGCAACAAGATTGCAGATATACCTCCAGATGAGTATTCTTGGAGGAAATATGGACAGAAACCAATCAAAGGTTCACCACATCCACGGTATGTATTCATCTTTTTTTGATAGAAGAATCCTCTAAATGTTCTCATTTGATATAAGAAGTTTCCTTCATTTGTCAGGGGATACTACAAATGCAGCAGTGTGAGAGGCTGTCCTGCAAGGAAGCATGTGGAGCGATGTGTAGATGAAACTTCGATGTTGATTGTGACTTACGAAGGTGAGCATAACCATTCAAGACTCTTGTCTTCACAATCAGCTCAGACCTGATGAAACAGAGTCAGCCAGTGCATGTCCTTTTTCAATCTACTCTTGGAATTGAGGAACAATGAATTAGATTCAAGTAACTTATCTTTGTAGCTGTGTTTTGCAATTGTATATTCCACTAGACATGAACTATAAGAGCATCTCGGATTCTGTGGCAGTACCAACAAGCATCAACAATTTGGCATCAGCCGAGCTTTTTCTTATAAAGATATATGCAACAAGGTTGATAATGGATCGTGTAATGTACTAATTTCACAAAACTGGATCATAATTTGTATTAATTTACCCCCAAAATACTGTTGACAATAGATTTCTGAGCCTAAACAAAACTTTCACACGTATACAGATTCAGCATATCAGACCGGCCATGGCTAATGCCGCTAACCAAGACGAAGAAGGCTGAAACTGTAAGGTCCTGTATGTGGACACTGTAAGCTTTACAAACCTAATATGCAACGATAGGTTTTGCTTCTTGAATCTTTGATCAAGTAGTAGTGGCCCTGACGTATTCACAGAAGTTCATATGCTTTAGCTTCTTGCTTCTCTCCCACCGATGTTAAACCAGGGAACTGCCCAATATCATGGCCAGCAAGAGGACTTGGCCTATCATGTAAACCGATAGCAAACTCTTCCGGGTTAGCTTCACTATTCTGAAGGAAATCCGCAATCTGCAGGGGAAACAAGAGGAGCAAAATAAAAATAAAAAACATTTGTTATATTTTACTTCTGCCACAGATTAAAACACAAAGACCACAACATTTTTAAGAAGAGTAGATACAGGATGCTTCTTACATGGTTTCCGAGGGCTTCACCGCTTATGGCTGCAGATTCTAGGTTAGAACCGAGAAGCCAGTCACCGCATATACCAGCACGGCCTTGTGGATCAAATACACATGGAACTGCAGGAGTGTTCTTTGGAAGAGCTGCTCCCCTGTACAAGAAAGCTGAATCATTCCACCAAATTTCAAACATTTTGGCACCGTTGATACAATACTTACCATAGCTGGAGACGGGTATAAACCGGTTTAGGAAGCGAGCCTTCAGGTAAGCCCAATGCAAGTTCCACACCTTGAAGCATCCCGGCTCTAACTTTCTCCGATGTTACCGTTGGGATGTTTTCCTATGATGAAAAGAGGAATGAAAAACCATTTGGTTTCTGCAGTTTTTTTAGCATTATGTTGAAAAGCTTTGAAGAAACTAACCTGAGGAACTTTGTTCTGTTTCCCATATGCTGCAGTACTAAAGAATGTCCAGCAGTGTGGAGGTCCACTATTACCAAGCTTTGCAGAGTTGTTTCCCATCCAAGACAATGATTCAACTCCTTTCACAAACGCTCCTTCGAAGTTCACTGTAGGAAGAGGATCATCGAAAGCTGCTAATAGCGCCCATATAGAACTAAGATCAAGTTTCTACAACAAAAAGTAGGATCGTATCAGAAGAAGTCACATGGTTAAATTGTTGAACTAGATAATGTCTACCTTCATCTGTTTAGCAACAAGGGGCAAGCCTGATGCAGATAGCAAACGATTCGCACATTTACCTGAACAAATGGTGAACCATTTTGTATGAAAAGAAGATATAACAAAACATCTGAAGCTCCAGAGAGAGAGACTAGAATCAATCAATACGGTTTCTTACCATTGTGAGCAATGACAATGACATCAAACTGACCACGAGGTGTTCCATTCTCACTCAAATGCCACATTCCATTAAGCGGTTCTAGCTTACTAATCCAACAAGGCCTCACCACATTTGCCAATCGACTCTGCAAAAAAAACCCAACACGTATTAGTCACTTCCCTCTCACAAAATAATAACAAAAACACTCAATTTTTTTGGCTGCATCAACAACCTCTAATAACAATGAATCAGCGAGAGACCGCATGCCATTAACAGCAATGTATCTTGGAGGCGATGAAGAAGGAAACTGTGAGAAACTACCCCCAACTTCAAGCTCTCCCACAACACCTTTCCACTGTCTAACAAGTCCTTTCTCTAACCACCCATCCACATACTGAACAAACCGAGAATCATCCGCAGTGAAGAACTGAGCAGCGTGATCAAAAACCATTCCTTGTGGTTCAACAACCCTTGTCCCAAGTCTTCCTCCTAACCCATGTATCCCCTGACAAGCCACATCATCACAATTCACAACACAACAAAACAGAGCCTTACTATTTTGTTTTCATTACAACAGCAAAACACTTAAAAACCGAAACTTTCTTGATAACCAAAACCCTAATTGATAATAGAGAACCCTAATTACGGCTTGGTTAACCAAAAAAAGCTCGGATTTGAAATGAAATTACAACAGCAAAAACAAATAAAGACTGAAACTTTCTCCATACCCAAAACACTAATTGATAATAGAGAACCCTAATCTTGGCTTGGTTAACCAAAAAAAGCTCGGATTTGAAGTGAATTTAACAACAGCAGAAACACGTAAAGACTGAAACTTTCTCGATACCCAAAACCCTAATTGATAATAGAGAACCCTAATTGTGGCTTGGTTAACCAAAAAAGTTCGGATTTGAAATCAAATTACAACAGCAAAAACACCTTAAAGACCGAAACTTTCTCAACACCCAAAACCCTAATTGAGAAATCGAAAACAATCAAGTGGGAGTTCCCAAGAGACGAACCGTATCGAAAACAGTAGACTTTACGCCACGAGCTTCCAAATTCAGTGCGCAGACAAGACCCGCCATTCCGCCGCCGATAATCGCCACTTGTGGATCGTCGGAGACACGCGCGGTGAACGTGACCTGTTCTTGTAAGAAGGATTTTTTGAGGATGGATCTTCTGGAAGTTCCATACTTTGAGGATTTGCGACGTTTCTGGAAATTAGGGTTTCTGCTGCTGGGGTTTGATGACGCCCCTGTGTTGTTCTTCTGGGAATCGCAGGTTGTTAGGGTTTTTCTGGTGGTGGAGAGATTAGGGTTTATGGGTTTAGCTAGAGTTTTGAATTTGAGAGGTTGGAGAAATGAAGAAGACAGAGGGAGTAAAGAAGTGGCCATTGTTGGTGTTTAACTTTTTGGAGGGAGGCAAAGATTAATGATGAGTGTGAGATTTATCTGTTATCTTCAAAACGGCACTAAAATGACCATTTTACCCTTTCATGTTTTCCTACTGAGATCTTCATTACAACATTTAAAGATTTTCAAATCATGGTGTCTAAAAAAGAGAAGATTTTCAAATTAATAGTACAAATAACAATCGATCGTTTTTTCTTTTTTTTTTGTTTCTGTCTGAATCTTTATTCATAAAACATCAGATACAACATAGCACAGGGACATGTCACATGCGTAAAAAAACATAAGAAGAATCAAAAATTAATTATGACCTATTGAAGAGGCTTGTGTTAATAATTATCATATCAGTGATAATACCATGAGAGAGCTCCAAACTATGACAATAGGAGTTATGGTTGCTATAAAATTTAATAACAAGATTATTACTATATGTATCTCTGACCATATTAACACAAATAATATATACATGTAGTCAACAACATATAGGTGGAAGATCCAATACCACTCAAAATATACAAATTTGCAACATAAGGGAGTTTTCTTCAGCAATCAACATAAAAGTTTTACGTTACAAAAGTAAAACCGAGAGCGACGGTTACATTGTGAACCAACCATATACCGGAAATAACCGAATAGATCTTTTAAATTTTCTCCGGTAATAAGATCAAAGTTAGATTGAGAGGCAACACAAAGACCAACAACAAAGCATCAAGCCTCACAAGCTTCTTCCAAGGACTCGTTGACTGGTTTCAGACAACCTTTACCCTTACCAGATCTGAAACGAGGGCTGCCGTGCTCAGCATTGGTGTTCTTGTTCTGAACTGTTCCGGTGCTGTGTCGGTTCCTGTTAGAAGCTGTCTTCAGAACTTCTTCACGGGATGACGACGAGCTGACTGCGTCGCTGAAGCTTTTTCTCCGTGAAAGGATGAGTTTTGGTGACTTGGGACGTGTCAAAGGAAGCTACAAAGATACAATAACATAAGCTTACTTTTTGTCACAAAGAACAAAAAAATACGAGTTGTGGTTTTAAACATACCTTCTTGAGCTCAGGTTTAGCAGGAGGCGCCTCGTAGTAGAAGTTAGGGACGGGTTTAGCCTTGAACTTGAGATTCTTTCTGAGTTGTTTCAAGGCTGCTTCTTGTTCTTCCTTTTGCCTTTGCTCAAGCTCGTTTCTCTCGGCTTCAAGCGCTTGGTTCTTCTCTTCAAGCTTTTGGTAATACTAACACACACAAACCCAACAAAAAGATCAATCAGTAAACAGAAAAAGTATGTGAAATGGGCTCAGGTTAAGTACTTACCTCTTTGCGCTTCTCAGCACGTTGAGCACTCTTAAAAGTTGGAGCACTACCATGAGTCACTCCGGACTTTGCTCTCCTCAAGGAAGTTGCCACGCTGTGAGTAGATACCGTTAAGGAAACATTAAAGGTTCTGTTATAAGTATCAAGTACATAAGAAACATGAGGAACAAATGATAAGAGGGAGGTAAAAGGATTACGAGGAAGCAATGGAGAAACTATCATCCTCATCATCCATATGCTTCTTGTTATCAGGTTGCAATGGCTTCCTCACCGCCACAGGAGGAACATCACGCTGCAGGAATTAAAAAAACATAAACAAACTACTTGCAAAACATAACGTTGGTCTGAAACTAGTTTTTACCTTTGAAACTTTAGGGGTTTTAAGAGAATTTTGAGCTCCAGTTTCAAGTTTTGGTGCATTCTCAGAGTGAGAATCGTCGTCTGTGCATTCCTTGACTTCAAACTCTTCCTCAGACTCCACAGCTGGAGCTATCTTAGGAGCAACGTGAACCCTACCGCTTGAAACGTCGGCGTTTCGGTTCATTACCACCTCAACAACTTCTCTTCCCATTCTCTCACTGCTTAAAATCATCCACGAAAACAAACACAAAAGACTCTCTCTTATTACCCAGATTCAAATTTTCAAAACTCTCAGATTATAAACACATCAAAACTTCCTCTCCACCCTATTGGCAAAAGAAAGATTTCTTCTTTATAAAGTTTACAGCTTTTGTCAAAGTTAGATTGTAAGGAACCAAGGATTGGTTCAAAGTTGGAAGAATCTGAAAGAGAGACACACACAAGAACGATTCAAAAGTGAAATCCAACACGCATTAACAACCCAGATGGAGAAAGAGTCAAAGTTTCAAAAGAAAAATGTAAACTTTAAATTTATATGGAAAAAAAACAGAGGAGATTCTTGAGATAGAAAAGAAGCAGACTTTCAATGAAGAACAGGTACCTAAAACAGAGGATGATAATAATAAAAATGGGGAGAGATTGTTCTTACGAGTCTTGTGTAGGGATGAGGGAAGGATTCTTGTGCACCACCACCTCTGTCTCCTCTCTCTCCGATTGCCCGTGAGAATTTTTCAGACAAATTTGAAAATGAATGTCTTTATGTTCAGACCAAAGTTGTCTCCCTCTTTCTCTCTCTCAAGAGAATTTTTTTTTTTTTTGGATGTGACTATTTTGGAATTGTGTTTGATTTGTTAAGCCGTTTGGTTATTTATTGAGACTTTTCAAATTTTAAATTATTTTTGTTCAGAAATAATCGAATTTGGAATATATTGGCGCTTTGCATAACTTTGGATTTTCTTCTATCTACTTATTAGTATTGAAAATCTATTACATTGTTTCCTGGTAAATGTATAAGTGTTATAATTAGTGTACTGTAATGAATGGATAGTAATTCACAACCTTATTCAGTTGATTATTTTCCCTTTTTATTTAAATGTATAATTAGTCATATACACATTCTCTATAATGATTCTCATTTTGATCCAGAACTTTTTGTATTACTTTAAATGTTAAAGTTTAATTTATTTTAAAAGTATCTAAAACTGTACTCAGTTGACAGAAAATGACTAATCTAGATGTATAGTTGGTAATTTTAAATGATTATCCTAGATAGACCAAAAGTATTATACTGATGAACATAAAATTCCTCCTACCTAGAAGTGCTATTCAGTTTTATTAATGATATCATTATTCCAAATGAATATATAATGGTAAAGTTATTATTCTAATTTTTTCCAATAATTACCTTATACTTGAGATGAAAACGAAAATCACATTCAACATTCAACTTCTCACAAATTAGTTTTGAGTTTGATTAGTAAACAATGACAATAAAATGTGGTTTCTAATGCATTCATATCTATTAGAAACAACTTCAAACTAACACCAAAAAAAAAAAACAAAAAAGAATTCAAAACTAATCACCATCCAACATTCAATAACCTTCACGGCCTTTTAAGTCACGAGATGGAATACCAATATGACAAATACCTCATTTATAATAACAATAAATACCAATGCGACAAGTTACTCGTTTAACAATAACTACATCTCGACAAACGTGATACGGCTACTTAACTACACTGTCTTTTGTACCGAAAGACTACACTGTTTTTCTTAAACACTCTTAACTTGTTGCACAAAAAAACACTCTCAAGTACACTGCGTATTTGAATTTGTTCAAGTACGTATTCGTATAAAAGTAAACAAAAAAAACCATTCGAGTAAGCATTAAAAGAAAAAACAAATTCGAATCTTGCAAGTTACGTATTTCATTTACTCTGAATTAAAAGAAAATTACAAGCTTTTAAAAAAATGCTTACTGCCTTTCCGTGTTCAAATTCACAGAGTAGTTCCTACTTTCCCTCGTTACTCTATTTAAATTTTGCAGCTTTATTAAAGTGTAGTTTTTGAATATAGTATAGTGGCTACTGTGAATTAATGCGTTCAGAGTCTTCAGACCATATACTAATTTTTTTACATACACACGTATGCTTATAAGTTATGTGTGTTCTTAATTTAATTATTTCAATGCTCATAATAACAACAAACCTTTTTACAAGATGAGTTTATTTCAACTGTTTGATGATTTAATTAAATAGTATAACTTTTGATCGTTTAATGGAAGAGAATGACATCCACGTTGCATTAGGAAAAACGTAGGACCCATGTCGCAACTCAAAATCAGATTATCCTTTGGCGGCAAAATGTCTTACTGGAAAAAAACATAAAACAAAAGACAAATCGGTGGGTTGGTTCAACAGATGGTCCCGAGTAAGGTGTTTGCCTATGAAAATGATAACAACCAACGAGTTTGGTCCGTGTATTGTGGATATGAAGTGGACCATCTCCTTTCCATTGATGTTGGAGACTAAACAATGACACTATGGATGTTCACTAATACTTGTCAAACATGAATGAATATGTAAACGTGTAACCAAATCAGTCACACTCAATAATGTTATGTATGATATATCTATATGATTTTTGATTATAGCCCGGAAAATCAAATTTAGGTGGGAGTCTCTATCTTGTAATGCAGTGAATAACACTTTTAAGTTTCATCCGAATCTTTATCGTCTAAAAGTGCTATTTGAACCTCAGGCCCATTTGTGTTAGCATATTGTTGGCCCATTTACAGTTATTAGAAACAGTAGATACAACCGCTGGGGGTAATTTCGTCATTTAAGATCACTCGAAAGCGAGATGATCCAATCTATTTTCCACTCTTACTCGGTCAACAAACTACGAACACGTGTCAAACTCTGGTTGGTTTACGTGAAGCGCATCGGGTGCCTATATAAATACATACCGTTAAGCCTCGTAACGGTTTTCTAATACTCGAGTAACCGCCAATCAAAGCGAAACTTTTCCCGCTACCGAAAGAAGAAAAGAGTTGATCGAAAAGAAGATGGCGATGGAAGTAGCAACACCGGCTCCGGCACCGATCACATCACCGGAGAGAAACATCGTCCTCGCGCCGCCGTCAGTGAAAGCCACCGTTGAGACTCATCACAAGAAGAATCGGATCCAAGTCTCCAACACGAAGAAACCGTTGTTCTTCTACGTTAATCTCGCCAAGGTATGTTACCAGATCTACGATTCGATTAGATCCGCTTGATTGTTGATCGTATGTAGTTGAACATCGATTAGTATTTCAATTACCCGCTAGGAATTTGAATTTGTTGTAGAGTTTGTCTTTGATATCTGTTCAGTGTTCACCAAGTGTTTATTCGTATTCCAGATCTGAATCAATCTTGTGCGATTGCAATGCGTTTGATAATTTGTTCTTTGATGCAGAGATACATGCAGCAACACAATGAGGTGGAACTCTCTGCACTTGGGATGGGTATAAGATTTTAACCATAAACTAAATAGTATTCTTTACAAGATCTTTCTCTTTGCGTTATCTTATTTTGAACTGTTTGGTCTGTACATAGCAATCACAACTGTGGTAACAATCTCTGAGATCTTGAAGAACAATGGATTAGCTACACAGAAGAGTAAGTAGCAAGTTTCTTTTTTTTTTTTATGATTAAGAAAGAAATGCTTTCGTCTAATTCAAGAAACTGTTGTCATCTTTGTTCAGAAGTGTTGACATCGACTGTGGTAATGAAAGACGAGACTAAAGGAAAGATGGTTCAGAAGGCAAAGGCAAGTGTTCTCTTCTTTTTAGCATCTTCGTTTAAGAACTTTTGACTTGCTATTTTCACATTCTTGTTGACATGTGTGTTGCTGCAGATTGAGATTGTGTTGGGAAAATCAGACAAGTTTGACTCATTGGTGCCACATGTGACCAGCGGAAAAACGCCGGAGGAGGTAGCTAAAGCAGTGCCGGAGGCTGCTATTGAAGCACATGAAGAAGCAGCAGCCACCAAGGCCTAGGGCGGAGCCTGTCTCAGATGAAAAATTGATTTCACCTTTTGTTATGCTTTGTTGTTTTTGTTTCATTTTGTGACATATCGAACATAATACTCTACATATGATTGTAGTTGCTTGTAAATAAAAAAAACACCTCTAATATTCTCCTTTCTTTGTATGAGAGAGTATATGATTTTTTTCTCAAACATTCGAATTGTTTTTTTTTTTCTTGTTATTACTTAATGGTACATAATAGGTAATCTCTACGATTAAAAAAAAAGAAAAAAGTAAAATGATTGCATCAGTTTCGTGAATCATACATAGGAGAACTAAATAAAATAAAAATTACATACTATATGAATGTTTCCAAATTTGAAAATACTTTTTTGAGAAAAACTTATATGGGATTTTAAGATTTTGAAAAATCCATATAATACTGTCCGTATAACAGTATTAGAAAATGATAAAATTTTGAAAAATAAATAATTTTGAAAAGTACCAAAACAGGAACATTTTAAAGAATAAATAATTTTGAAGCAGTTGACAAAATTAGAAAAAAACAATACATGAAGTCATAATAGGCCGAACAGACCAAAGGCCCATAATATTGGGCCGAATACAATGATATTCATGGCATATTCTGTGCGTGGTTCATTGGTCAAAAATTAGAAGTTATCGAATTCATAAGGTGTACAGTGTAATAAAACAAAAGTTACAATACTTCTGGATCTCAAAACTTTAAAGATAGTTCACCAGCGCCTCCATAATCGCCGGAATCTCCCCACTCTCTCTCTAACTTTCTCCGCCGCACCCCCTTCGAAAGCTAGTTCCCGTTTTATTCTCCAACACCGTTAAACCTCTATCAATACCACGTAAGTAACACACCGTCTTATCTTCGGTTTGTTAATTCTCGCTTCTTAATTGGCAATTCTAGGGTTCGTCTAGTCTTTACTACTCCGCTTCGAATTTTCTACGCAGTTTGTTAGTATAGGTTTATTCAGTAACAGAAGACTAATTCTCTGTGTGTGTATTCTGATTTTTTTTTTTTTTTTATGAATTCAGTGTTTGTAGAGTCATGGCTGAAGCTGAGGACCAGCAAAATTTCGTCACAAACAACGGAGATGAGGCACCAGAGCACTCCTTAAACGATGTGCATAACGGGTTACAGTACCAGGTCCATGACGAAACACTCGGTCACCAACCCTACGAGGTTCAAGATCCGGTTCTTGAACCTCAGGGCTACGAGGTCCAAGATCCGGGACCGGAGCAGTACGCTGGTCAGTTAGAGTACAATGATTTCCAGGTGCAGGAGGAGGATCAGGTTAACGAAGAGGTTCAAGATCAGGCGCAGGGTGAGTTGCAGTATCAGCCTATAGATCAGGAGGAGCAGTATCAGTTGGATGAGCAGAGTCAGTATCAGGTGGAAGGTGAGGTGCAAGTTGGGGATGGGGATGATGTGGAGGAGGAACAAGTTGGAGGCGAGGGAGGAGTTCCTGAGGATGTTGGGGATTTAAGGAAGGCGGAGGGTGAAGGAGATGTGGTAGTTGGAGGTGAGGAGGAGGAGGAGAAGAGGTGGCCTGGGTGGCCGGGAGAGACGGTGTTTCGTATGTTGGTTCCTGCGCAGAAAGTTGGTAGTATTATTGGTAGGAAAGGTGATGTGATTAAGAAGATTGTTGAGGAGACGAGGGCTCGTATTAAGATTCTTGATGGTCCTCCTGGCACTACCGAAAGAGCTGTGAGTCTCTTAATCCTTACATTTCATGGTTATTAAATTTTAAGTTGCAGCTATCAGTAAAATAATGCTCTTGAAACAAAACTAGATTGCTAATTATAAGAAAACTAATTTAGGAGAAGATAAGATACACACCTTTTTGGCCGTAAAATTCACTGGTCTGGAATTTTAGGCGCTAGCTTCTGTTGAAACATGTAAAAGGCCATGAAATTTTGGTTGAAAAGACAATAATCGAGCACACTTTTCCCATAATCTTAATAAACATGTAAGTAAACAGAGTGGACACCCTAACCGAAAGACGTTAATAATAAAGTCATCCCAGAAAGTTGTATTTTGGCTGATTGATAAAGTTGGGAGCTGCTGAAAATGTGTTGAAGAATTAGTGCATCAAGAGAAACTACCTTAGTAAGTAAATTAGGATTAAATTGGGTATAGTAACTCAGCAGACCTGCTTAGCACAATTCCTTCAAGTGAAAGGAGGAAGATAATCAAAGAAGTTGATAAGATGTGAGTAGGGTTCCCTTTATTGCTGTGATCACCATGAATCTGTGCAGGTTTCATCTTGCAAGTTTTATGGCAACAAATCAATCATCGGTAAGGTCTCAAAAACGAAGAACCAAAGCCAGATGGCAAGGAATTCAGCCTTGAGGCACTACAAAGTACTGATAAGCTTATCTGAATAGGCAAGGTTCTTCTTGTCTAAATCTCAGTGCCTTGAAGCTCCGCCTTCTTTCTGGTAACTTAAGTACCTGGATGGTTGATGTCTTGCTGCAGACTTTCTGCAGCATGCAAGGACCTGCTTAACCGGATGTAACAATATGTGGACGATGAAATTAGGACTAGGCAACAATTAAGTAAAGAGAAATGTTAAGATTTTGAAAAAGGTTCTATGAAAAGCTTCTACGAGTCTTGAAGATTGGTATTGGCTGATATGGCATCTGAAAGGCTATAACCTAATTACCATGGGTTAAAACTTGAAATGAAGATCATAACAGGGAATAAACATCTAACTAGTCAAAGTGCACATGAGTCTGTACTTTGGAACTTTCTTTACGCTTTGAGAATGATGGCACCAAAATGAATAATTGATATAGACTAAGATCGCTGTTTGTGGCATATTTTAATGTGTTGATAATTTTTTCCTCTTTGTTGGCAGGTTATGGTTTCTGGAAAAGAAGAGCCTGAATCATCTCTACCTCCATCTATGGATGGCCTTCTTAGAGTCCACATGCGGATAGTTGATGGTCTGGATGGTGAAGCTTCTCAGGCCCCTCCTCCTACAAAGGTTTCAACAAGATTACTAGTTCCAGCGTCTCAGGCTGGAAGTTTGATTGGAAAACAGGGAGCAACAGTTAAAGCCATTCAAGAAGCAGCTGGTTGCATAGTTAGAGTCCTCGGATCAGGTTCCTTCTCTTCACATTTTATGTACTGAAATCATGTTTTCTCCTCTGTGTTTTTGGTTTCAGTCAACGTTTATACATGCAGTTATTCCTTCTTTTTAGATAAAAGGCTACTGTTGGCACATGCTTAGTCGATAGAAATAACATAAACGAACTGAAATCCTGCTTTGAATCTCTCTAGTGAATCTATGTTTTCTCTATTTCAGAGTGGCCTCTTTTTTGGTGTGGGTCGTTTATTCTTATTTAATGGTATTTCTTACCGACATTTTCTTATGTGGACTTTTTGTAGAGGATTTGCCTGTTTTTGCTCTTCAAGACGATAGGGTTGTTGAAGTTGTGGGGGAACCAACAAGCGTTCATAAATCCTTGGAGCTGATCGCATCACATCTCAGAAAGTTTTTGGTCGATCGTAGCATCATCCCATATTTTGAAAGCCAGGTTATCTTCTCTTCTCCTTCGGATCTTTGGGAATGTTTATCAATTGCATAGCATGTATGAACTTTTCTCCTTACTCTGCTTACTGAAACAGATGCAAAAGCCAACTCGCCAGATGGATCATATGCCCCCGCAACACCAGGCCTGGGGTCCACCTCAAGGCCATGCCCCAGGTGTTGGTGGAGGTCCTGGCTATGGTCACAACCCACCTCCATACATGCAACAACCTCCAAGACATGATAATTACTATCCTCCTCCTGAGATGCGTCAACCTCCAATGGAGAAACAGCCTCATCAAGGTATATCTGCTTATGGAAGGGAGCCTCCTATGAATGTGCATGTATCATCCGCCCCACCTATGTCCGCTCAGGTATTCTTCCCTTCTCCGAGAAAGTGAACTATTCAGTCTACTTCAGTGACGTGTTTTAGCCTCTTCATGGAATCTGACTGGTTGGGATAATTTTTGTTTTTGGTTTTCCAGCAAATTACGCAGCAGATGCAGATCCAACTGTCTTACGCAGATGCAGTGATTGGGACTTCAGGTTCAAACATAAGCTACACTCGTCGTCTTAGTGGAGCAACAGTAACCATTCAGGAAACCAGAGGAGTACCTGGTGAGATGACTGTTGAGGTTAGCGGAACTGGTTTACAAGTCCAGACCGCTATTCAGCTTATCCAGGTACACCTATATTCACCATCAAAAACATGTCTTATTTGGTTATGTATCTGGCCAAAACTAGAAAAGTTCATTAGGATAGTGACTTGACTTTGCAGCCATACACTTCTGTAAGTTTTGAGTTCTGACCGTTGATTGTTTTTATGACAGAACTTCATGGCTGAAGCTGGAGCGCCAGCACCAGCACAACCGCAAACTGTAGCACCAGAGCAGCAAGGCTATAACCCTTACGCAACCCATGGCTCAGTCTATGCAGCGGCTCCAACGAACCCGCCTGGAGGATACACTACGGATTACAGCTCAGGCTATGGTTACTGATCAAGGATCATTATCAAGTTACTTTCGTTTAGAATGTTTTACTAGTGACAAGCCAGAATGAGAGAGTACGCTAGATGATATGCCTAATCGAGTATATGTTTTCATAAGCGACCACCCTTGTTCTTTGCAATCAGTTATCATTTGTTTTCCAGACATTGTCGTTGTTGTTTACTTTTCACTCTTGTGTTTATTAATTTCAACCAGTAGTTTTGTTTGATCCAAGTGTTCTCAAGAGAGAGCTAATTTTATTTGCTCTAAAACATGTTTTGTACTCAAGGAGAAGAACATCTGTCACCTCTCTATCGGCAGATGAAACTTTTTGATTCCTTTCAAGTTTTAGAACTTGTTGATATAGCCATTCATGTAACATATCGAAAACAAGAGGGAAAAGAGTAAGAATTACGCAACACTTTCTACCTTGTGATACAATTAAACTTGAGTAAAAGTTACATTCCAAATGAGCGAATACAGACTTGAATCTCAGAAATTATTAAGCTAGAAACTACGAGATGGGCACTACGAATAAATGGAGAAAGGAAATAACAAACATGTAAGGTTGTTGTTCAAGTGTTTGTTTCCATGTACTACTTAAAATCTTGAAACTGATCAAGAACGATGTGATATTCTATAGTACACTTAACAGAGTAACCCATTCGAGTCCACACTATGGTTCCTGTCACAGAGAAACCCACACAGGAATTAAGACACTGCCATACTAACGTTATATTATTAAACAACTAAGAAAATTATGGTATAAGATGAGTGTCTGTCCCAGGACAGCATCTGGTCCGTCACAACAATATCGGATGCACAAGAGCTTTGTGGAGTTGATCCTCATAGACGTGATGCTGTCCCAGTTAGTTGTATAGTTTGGATTTTCTGCGCTTCTCGATGGAGTCCTGCCCTTTATCTGTATAGAAAAACTTCATGAAATTATATGGATTCTTGTTTAGGTTTGAAATTCTCTAGTTTACTTAATGACGCTCTAAGTGATTGCACTTTCACATAAAAAAAACTGACTAGCTTCATTTTATTTCTTTTCATATAAATAATAGTAAACCAAAACTATCATTATATATGTAGAAGGAATAGAATTCTTTGACTTAAAAGCTACAAATTTTATGGATTCGAGTCTGAAATTCAGGGAAAGAATATGAGATAGTGTAAGGTTTTAGTTATGATATTCGACATTCCCATTGTCGTGTTTTGATGGAAGAAGAATTTGATTCTTTGCCTCATCTGAAAAGATAAAAGGGGGGGGGGGGTATATATATGATGATGATCAAACAAAACCTGTGATTCACATACACAATATGGATACAAAAAGATCAATATATAACATATCTATTCACAAGCATCCTCTTTTTTTTTCAGCTCGTTTTTTTATTGCTGAATGTTATGGCTGCCATGTAACAGAATATATCTATGGTGGTTACATTTGCAATGAGCCTTACTGTTCTGTTACGTTTCATAAAGAGTGCGCCAACGCTCCACCAGAGATTAATCATCACCCTTCTCACTCGGAGCATCCTCTCCTACTCACTAATGGCTCTCAGTACAGAGGTAGTCCATGTGATTGTTGTGGGAAAAAGCTTCGGTCCCCATTTTATACATGTTCCACATGTAAATTCAAAGTTGATTTGGTTTGCGGGATGAAACCTTCGCCCCATACTATTGAACGTCCGATGTGGCATGACCATTCAGTTGTGTTTTTGAAGACACAAGAGGTGGATGTTTCTTGTGATGCATGCAAGGAATCTATTAATGGGGCGTCTTATTCATGTCTTGAATGTCATGTCTACTTTCATTTGGATTGTATTCATCTCTCGAAAGAGGTAATTCATCGTTGGCACTCTAGTCACCCTATCAAAGTTTTTGCATCTGAGTCATTGCCTGATAATTGTGGTATCATGAAGCATTGTTGTTTCTGTTTAGTTCCACGACCAAAGGTCTTTTATCATTGTTATATGTGCAATTTCACCATGTGCTTTGCTTGTACCAAACATCCACCACCTCTTGCTGTTGAGGATATCAAGACTCACACGCATCCACTTTGGCTATTTTCGAACCGCATCGCGTTTACTTGCAAATTTTGTGGACTTGAAGGCTACGGAAATATACCGTATATATGTTTCGCGTGCAACTTTGTGGTCCACGGATATTGTATCGCCTTACCCCATGTCATAAACATCAATCGTCATGATCATCGCATCTATTTCACAGAGCATCATGGTAAGTATACAAAATGTGGAGTTTGTAGGAAAACTATAAGTCAGTACGGCGGAGCTTACATTTGCTCGGTTTGCCCTAACTACACAGTTCATTCACGATGCGCATTTGATTATAATCTATGGAATGGTGTGGAACTGGAAGGGATACCTGAGAGGAACGAAGATATTGAGCCATTCAAGGTGGTGGGACATAATTTGATACGTCATTTCAGCCATATCAAACATACTTTAAGGCTCCTCAAGAATATTCTCATTCATGATGACGAGTGCAGACGGTGTGAAGCATGCATAAGCCCGGTCAGGTTCGGCCCGATCTACGCTTGCGTAGAATGTCCTTTTGTTTTCCATGAAAAGTGTGCTAAACTTCCTAAGAAGAAAAGACTTGTCTTTGACCCCGCACTATACACGTTGAAATGTGATAGCTCAGCTCTTATATATTGCAAGCTATGTGAAATGTTATGTCATGGTTTCAAGTACATATCGCAAGGAGGTATTATACAGCCATATAGCCATGTAGATGTACATTGTGGTTCCATTTCCGAGCCGTTTGTCCACGTTAGGCATTTGCATCCCCTATATTTTGTTAAGACAAAGAAGGATCATCATTGTGATATATGTACGAAAATTCGAGCTAAATACATGCTCAAATGTGATACTTGTTACTTTTATTTGTGTTTGTATTGTGCTACTTTGCCAGAGGAGATATGCCATATGAGCGATGAGCACCCTCTCACTTTATACTATGGTGGAAAGGGGAAGGGCACGAGCTGGTGCGAAGTTTGTGAGATGGAGCTATTATTCCCAAGTAGATGGTTCTTTACATGCTCTGAATGTGGAGTAGCCTTGCATGTTCAATGTGCTCTAGGAGACTTCTCACGCCTCAGGCCAGAATGGCTCTGTACCTTTGGAGGAAGAGATTACAAAGTGGTTCTTAATAATCACAACAGTCGGCCATTTTGCAGCCATTGTCACTTTCGATGCAAGGCCCCCTTCATCTTAAAGGAGAAGGGTAAGGACAATGGATACATTTGTTCCCTTGCATGCTTATCTAGTTGTTTGGGTATAGAGTTTGTGTACTTTAACGAAATACAATAGAGTGTGATATTGTTTCATATTTTCAAACACAAAAGAAAAAGAAAAAAGAATTTCTCTTGTAATATATACAGGGTTTTAATTTAAAGGGGTTTGTAGCTGAAGGGAAGGATATACGACGCAATTATTAGATACTTATCTACTGAGAAGCAGGTTGGTAAGCCACAAAAGTAACACAAAGACATCATTTAGAATTAAAACCTTAACACACACTCATGTGAAATAACATCATTTAGAAGAAAATATCATCCTCTTGTGTTTGTCAATGGTGAGATCATGGTGTTTGTCAAATGCTTCTTCCATTAAGACATGACAAAGAGAGGGAATGGCGTGGATCACAACTAAAACCTAGCCTGTACGCTTTCTATTTGCTATTCTTTTCCTGGACTTTTACTCTGATATTTATGAATATATATATATATATATATATATATATATATATATATATATATATATATATTTAACATTGTCTAAGAATATATCAGCTTACTGGATCAGACGTATCCCCCTCGGTTATGGATCACAGCTTATTTCAAAGAACAACGGTTTGGTCATTTAACCGCCAACATAGTTGAGTCCATGAACTCATGGATCTCTGAAGCTTCTGGTTCTGGACTTCCAATCATTCAGATGATGGAATGCATCAGGAGACAGCTACTGACATGGTTCAACGAACGGCATGAGACCAGTATGCAATGGACAGGACTTCAATACTCGTCCGAACGGCGGAGCAGCGCGTGGCAGAGGCTCTTGAGTTTGGGAGAACCTAGCAGGTGCTTAGAGCTAATGAAGCAGAGTTTGAAGTTATATCTCATGAAGGGAACAACATTGTGGATATTAGGAACAGGTGCTGTCTTTGTAGGGGCTGGAAGTTATATGGTTTACCGTGTGCACATGCTGTTGCGGCTCTTTTGTCTTGTAGACAGAATGTTCTTAGGTTTACTGAGAGCTGTTTCACTGTGGCTACGTATAGGAAGACTTATTCTCAGACGATTCATCCTATTCCTGATAAGAGTCTTTGGAGAGAGATGTCTGAAGGAGATCCGAATGTGAAGAAGCAGCTCTAGCCGTGTAAACAGACTGGTCATTTCAGAACTACGTGTGCTGCACCCATTTGATTCTCAAAAGTATCAGCGCGCTCTTCATCTTATACATGTAAGTTTCTTAGCTCTTTTGTAATATAACGTTAGTGTCTTAATTGGATTCATGGATCTGATTTGTATGTGGATCTTGTCTATGTGACGGGAACCATACAGTGGAGTGTGGACTCGAGTCTGCTAAGTGTACTATAGATTATCATAGCTTTCTTGATCAGTTTCAAGATTTTAAGCAATAGATCGAATTATACACTTGAAGAACATTACATGTTTGTTGTTTCCTTTCTCATTTATTTGAAATGCTCAGCTCGAGCAGATGCATAAACTCTTTTGTTTTCGTTAAATAGTTCTTGAGATATATTATTTTCATGTGAATGTATTTTTATTGAGGTCTGATTTTTCATAAGCTGCGAAGTTGATATGAGCCAACTTTTGCTCCACAAAGAAGACTAGAGTTAAATTACTGCTCGTGCAAAAATAAAAAATTAATTACTGAAGATTTCACAAATTCGAAAATTAATTACTGAAGATTTTCATGTCTTAATGGAAGAAGCATTTGATTCTTTGATTCTTTTGAAATGATAAAGGTCCTTACCAATTAATACTATTTGTTTGTTGTGTGTATATATATGTCCCTGTTCCATTTTTATATACCTGACCAAAAACAACCTCTTTCATTCACATACATAATATATGGATACAACAAAATCATCAATATGTCAGCTACCTCTCCACGAGCATCCTCTTTTTCCTACAGCTCTGTTTATCATAAGTTTATGTCATGGCTGCCGTAAAGAAGAAAGATTCATGTACGGCAGCTACTTATGCAAAGAGGTTTCCTGTAGTTGTCGGTTC